ATCTGGTATTTTCATTGTTCCCTATTAACCCAACCTTTAACATAGTCTTGACAAAATACTAGAAGCAGGACATATTACACAAAATTAATTCTGAAACATTTTGTGCAAAATTTGCACGTCAGCTGTCATCAGAATGATAAAACTCATTAAAAGTTTCTGTGGATCAAAATAATGGTTTATTTTGTAATCACCTACACCAACATCATGAAGCAACTGGGATAAATGAGAATATGTCTCAGAGAGTGAGGAGGTGTAACTCGCTACAAACACAGAACATATGAAGTGTTTCAGACACTTACACCTGTAGCAAGAGATCCTTTTGCCATCCTCTCAAAGCCAAGTGCCAGAACACAGTCTGCCAAACCTTAAAATAAAATTTGTGGCCATTTAAAGCACAATGTGATTATAAATGACACTGTGTACTAACAACTATTCAATTATAAGATATGTACATAAACATCTACCAGCCGCCCTTCCTCCTTCCTTCATTTTTGAAAGGGAGTCAAATTAAAGTGGAAATTAAATTGATACAAACATATTGATACTCAGGAATGAGAGACTGCTCCAGGATTTGGGTTTATTTTAACCATTTGCCAGCAATTATCTTAGACAAGCAAGCACTTATGTCTCTGCTACAAATACTAGAATAATCATACAGCGTTACTCTAGTTTTCACCACAGAAACATCAGCATTTAAGTGCAAGAAAGTATCAAAGTCCATAAAGGAACTGCAGAAACAGAAGGAAATGCTCATCTATCAGTTCAAAGCAGTCTGTCACAAGGCATTGCTCTTCCCCTCCCCTCCAAAAATGTGTTAGTCAAACACTTGTGTTAACTTCAAGTTAAAAAAAAAAATTAAAAGCTAGGCTTTTTAGCAGATTCTTCTCTCCTTTTCCTTTCATAGAAATAGAGACTATGTGTTACCCAGCTCCAGAGCAAAACAACTCACCTCCTTCTACTAATTGTCTGGCCATGAACAAAGCAGTGGATCCAGTGGCACAGTTGTTGTTGACATTAACGATGGGAATGCCAGTCAGACCCAACCCGTGGTAGACGGCCCTCTGTCCACAGGTAGAGTCACCTTTAGAGAGAAACACAGCATTAAAGTAAGGTACAAACTCCAACTCCACTCACAAAAAGAAATCCTGCCATATATGTGCAGTGCTACCACTTAAACTGTAAACTTGAACTTCCGAACTGTCCCCTTGAGTGTGTCTGCCAGGTATCCACAGCAAAGAACCTCAGAAAAAAGGTGAAACTCAACAGATTTTAAAGACAGAAGTTTGTCCTGCTTCTGTGATAACAGGCTTCTGTGATAAAGGGGCAGAAAGGACTTAGAGGTGCAGCTTGAAAGCTGCTGTAGGTATCACAGCTGACTGACCCTACTCCAGTTGCCATAATACAGCCATTAAGAGAGAAGCAGGAAGAAAGTAAATGCAAAACTCTCTCTAAATAGATTTCCCCATAATAGAAAGCTTATGGACGGGATTCCCCCATACTTTATCCACACAGATGTGGATAAATTTTATCCACACAGATGTCTGCAACTGCCACGGATGTCACATCCCAATCAAACATTACTTACCATAAACATAACCCACACACGCCTGCTTCACTGCTGAGTAAGGAATCCCAGCATCAGCTAAAGCTGCCTGGCCTAAAAAACAGTTACAAGTCGAAAAAAAAAATTAAAATTGAAGGGGGAAAAAAAAAAGCAGCTCTCACAACCATAACAAGCAACCCTAGTTGCTGTAGTATGTAGTAGTATGTACAATTCCTGCATTCAAACTAGAAAAAGAGAGTCGTACAAATTCATTGTTATATGATGCAAATGGTTAATGTAGTCTTGTACCTTAATACTCACAAGGACAATTTCACACTGTTTTGAGTTCTGAACAAGTTTCTTTATCAGCAAATTTCATTCAATCGTGTTCCTGCACAAAGGTTGTTCATCCCAATGAAAGTATGTTTTGAATACTACAGCTAAGTATTACATTATTTAAGGGTCCAATCCAATTTTAAGCCATCCTGCTGACTTCAGCATTGGAGACAGCGAGTTGGACAGGTCAGTTATGGATTTTGTGAGAGTGGTCTTTTCTTTTTATATGTATCTACTTACTGAACAGCAGTTGTTCCTTCATATGTATAATAAAAATATTAACTGTAAGACTTAAAATAAGCATCAGCAATCAAACAAAATGCTTTATTATTAAATTACCTGCTTCCTTAGCCATTTCAGGATAATCAGCACTATTCTCATTAGGCTTTGAAAACTGACAAGAGGAAACAAAACAAAAACAAAAAAAAAATCACAGTGAGATTTAATACCTTTTTTCCTCAAACTGGTATATTTAAAAGCTTTGTATTTAATTTGGAAGTCATCTTTAAATAATGCAAACAGTGTAATTTAATTGATCCAAAAGTATGTGCACAAAACCTTTACAATTCCCAAGTGCTACTGCCAAATCCAGATAAAGTAGTGGCACTTTATGGAAGCTGAGGGCCATTTTTGCTCAGTCTTAAAGAAGATCCATGGCTGTGGATATGGACAATAACCCTGTGCAAAGCCTGTAGGTGGGACAGAGAAGAACTGTCATTGTCACTGATTCATCGTAATATATGATATCGTAATCCTCACTAAGACTTTGATAAATACTTCTCTTCCCCTTTATTTTGTTCTACTCCTATTTGTAACAAGAAAATGCTTGCTTTTTGTACAGAATTTATCATACCTCACCCCTCACCACTGGAGTAGAGATGGCATTTCTATTTTCTTTGCAGTGATTCATTAGAGTCCACCACAAACACATGTGCTTTGTGTTTTTACATCACTAACAAAAAGTGTCGCTGCTAAAAAAAAAGTCTTCATTCTACAAATTATCTGACGTTCCCTGTGAGTGTACAAAAGTTAATTTTCTGCCTCCTTGTGCTTTCCTCCCCAACTCCAGTGTTTTGCAACACTGCTGTACTTTCTGTAGTGCCTCCTTCCATTAATTTAGTCTGAGAACCTTATACTGAAGGTCATAAGAAAAATCAGTCAGCGAGTTGATCATTGTAAAAGTCTGTTCCTTTAGCTTTTGCTCCTCTTTGAAAATCATCAAATCATTTAGGTTGGAAAAGACCTTTAAGATCAAGTCCCACCATTACCCCAGAATTGTCAAATCCACCACTAAATGATGGCCTCAGGTGACTCCACCACTGCCCTGGGCTGCCTCTTCCTGGGCTTGGCAATTTTTATGGGTGAAGAAATTTTACTTAATCCTAAGCCTACTCCTAAGCCTCTCCTGTGGAAACTTGAAGCCATTTCCTTTTGTCCTGTCACTTGTTACTGGGGAGAAGCGCCCCACACGCACCTGCCTGCAACCCGCTCTCAGGGAGCTGTGGAGGAAACTGTGCTGGCCGCTGAGTGACCGGGTACAGAACTGCCCTGAGCCCCTCGGGCAAGGCCAAGCCGCGGGCCAGCGGCTGCGGTGACACTCTGGGGACACTGTGCCCACTGCAGGTCTGTGGTATCGACCCGCTCTGCGGGCTCACCACGTTCCCCTTGGCCGCGCTCCGGCCTCCCCCTCACGCCGGGCGCGGGCGGACTTTGCGCGGCGCCGCTGCCTCCCGGGCCGGCACCGCACGGCTCTGCCCCGCCAGGGCCCGCTGAGGCGGCGCCAGGCGCGGTGAGGGGCTTCACCCCACCGGGGAGGGAGGGAGCGGACGACCTCCCCCCGCGTCCCCTCAGCGCACACAAGGGACACCCGCCGAGCCCAGCCTGGCCCGGGCCGTTCCCCCTCACACACGCGGTGTCGGGGAGGGCGGGGGGCGGTACCTTGGTCATCCCGACGCCCACCACGAACACCCGGCGCTGCATGATGGCAGTGTGACCTCCTCCTGCTCCTGCTCCTCCTTGTCCTGCCGCTGTCGCCGCGACCCGCGGGCCCTCAGCGACACCGAGGGACGGGAAGAGCGACGGAGGCGGGCCAGCGCCGCCACGCCCCTTAAAGGAGCGGAGGACCCGGTGCGGCCCCGAACGGGTTGAACCCGTCCATAGCACAGCCATGGCCATCCCTACAGCCATCCTGGCCTGTTCCCCCGAATCGCCCTATCTTGTTGACTCATCAGACGTTTTTCCAAAGTGGAGCTGGAATGACGCAAGTCTCTTCGTGTCCAGAGAAAGGCAACGAAGCTGGGGAAGGGTCTGCAGCGCGTGTTCTATGAGGAGCGGCTGAGGGAGCTGGGGGGGCTCAGCCTGGAGAAAAGGAGGCTCAGGAGGGACCTTCTCTCTCCCTACAACTCCCTGACAGGAGGGTGGAGCCAGGTGTGGGTCGGTCTCTTCTCCCTTGTAACAAGCAATAAGACTGGAGGACATAGTCTTAAGCTGTGCCAGGGGAGGTTTAGGTTGGACATCAGGAAGAATTTCTTCCCAGAAAGGGTGATTAGACACTGGAGTGGGCTGCCCAGGGAGGTGGTGGAGTCACCGTCCCTGGAGGTGTTTAAGGGAAGACTGGACATGGTACTCAGTGATGATTCGTGATGGACTCGATGATCCCAGAGATCTTTTGCAATCCAATTGATTCTGTGATTCTTTTCCTTCAGAGATATCTTCAGGTCCGTCACTTGAAGGATCATACTCTTTTCCTGAAATGCTGGATGGGTTCACAGTGAAAACTGAACATCTGACCTTCATCAACCCACTCTTCCAAGAGTCCTTCCCCTTCCCTCACGGTGCCATCCTTGAGGATCTCCACGGCTCCGTCACGGGACAGAAAGGAGGTCACCTCTTGCCTTCCACAGATATCCAGGCGGCATCTACCTTGTTTTCCACCGCACGGGTCCTCACTTGTCAGTAACCCTTCCACTCCAGCGGGCTGTCACTGTGTCACTGACTCCTCTAGGTCCTCCTTAAAGGCGGCGCGGCCCGTCCCGTGCCCCGCGGCCCCGCGGCCCCGGAGCGGCCCCAGAGCGGCCATGCTGCGGCTGGGCCGGGCGGTGCCCGCCGCGCTGCGCGGGGCCCGCCGAGGGACCCCCGCGGCCCAACCGCGCCGGGGCGCGGAGGTGCTGGTGGGCTCGGCCGGCGGCGACAGCGGCGGTGAGTGCCCGGGGACCGGCGCGGTGACCCGGTGCTGCAGGGAGGGCGCGGGTTGAAGCCGGGTCGTCCGTCGTATCTTAGCTTTCAGTTACGTCTTGATACTTGTTTCCCAGAACGCTCCTGCCAAATGAACAGCTAGATGCATATTCTTAAGTTATGGGTGCAGGAGAGCTCAACACAGGAAGTTCTGGTTTGCATACCTTAGATTTTTCTGATATCAGCAATGTACAGCGCTAAAGGTAGGACAGGACCTGGGCATGTCTGTGCACATTTATGCATGACAGCCAGTAAACAGTTTGAGTTTTGGTTCAGATTGCCAATGGATTTACTTTCTGTGTAACTATTGCAAGAGCTCCTAAACACCTCTTGGTAGTTTTGCTAGTTACATACCCGTGAACAGTTCCCACAGCTGTGTTTTTTGCTGGTGCTGCTGTCACCTGTGTCTGGTTCAGTAGCTGGCCCCTGGCACAGGCAAAGGAATACACACGTGCAAAGTACAGCTGTGCACCTACAGCAGCAGCAACAGCATCTTAGAACGTTCGTGCCTGGGAAGTGAGCAGAAGTCCAGCCAAGGAAACAGGATAGATCTTTTTTCTTTCCAAAGCACACAGAAGCCATTGGATAATAATTTACAAGTCACAAGTGCAAGGGAGAAGTAGATATATATTTTGGCCTTATTTTTCTGCCTGGACTTAGGAACTTTTAGTGGAGTCTTTTCCACTGACAAGCTTATTAAGTTTAAATAAAACGGAGCTGCAATTTCCTAGCGGTTCTGGAACATGAACTGAGAGTAACCAGTCTGTGCTGTTCTCATCCCAACAGCAATCCCAAGAGAATTTTCTTCATTAAAGAAATGTACTTGAACATAGTAACACTGTACAATAAAAACTAAATTAAGTAACATTCAAAAGAAAAATCTAAGATGGATCATTTGGGTTTTGGTTTGTTGGGTTTTTTTCCCCATTTCTGCAGTGATTCTAAGACATATGTTCTTGGATGTTGTGTTGATTTTTCTAAGTCTTATAGTATTTACAGTGCTGCTGAATTTTACAGTTTTTCTGCATAACTGGGTTTTGTAGACATGGTGTGCCACCTCTACTTTTCAAATAACTGATTGGTTTAGAAAATACTTTACATGCATTTTCAGGGAAGAGAAGATGCAGCACATGCAGATATTGTTCCCAGTTGAATTACTGTGTCAGAGAACTAAATGAAGTATAACTGAAATTGTCTCCTATTACCAAGGTATTGCTGAAATCCTAATGAACCGACCCCACGCGAGAAATTCACTGGGAAAAGTATTTGTAAACGAAGTGAGTATGGACCTGGCCTGTAAGTATGTTTGGAATTGTGATCAATAACCAACTGCAGTAAGAAAAGTTGTAGGAAATGTAAAACAAAATCTTATCCCTTGCTGAAGGTCAGTGGGAGATGGCACCAGGGCAAGGCAGGTTAGCCTGGAGAAAAAGGGATTGTGATAGTTACTGCAGTATCTCAGATGTGGACTGGACAGAGATACTGGAGTTATTGAAGTTAGCTAATTTAATTTAATTTAACTCAGATGCAAGTTAATGTCCTTACTTGTGTAATTACAATAAAAACTTACTCATTGTCACACCTTAGCAGGTGATCTGTTCAAGGATAATACATCCTCGAGAAAGTCCAGCTCATGCCTTGACAGGAAGGGGAATGAGTTTAAGGTACAGCAAAGGAAAAAAGAGATGGGGAAACACATCATTCTGAGGCTGTCAGGGAAAGATCCTGCTGGTTCCACTTACATGATTTCCAGAAATATCCTGGCACCTGCAGGGCAAAAAGAAAACCCTTGTATCATATATTATTAGGAGCTTGCTCTAATTTATGCCTGAAGTTTTTCCCCCCTTGTCTGCCCTCCCTCCCTCATAGCTGTTCAGTGCCCTGGAGCAGCTCCGCTTCGATGAGAAGGTGCGTGTGGTGGTGTTCAAGAGCCAGGTGAAAGGTGTGTTTTGTGCAGGTGAGTAACAAAGGCTCTGCAAACTGTGCTCAAAAAACATGATGGCTCTTGGGACTGTGATCAGATCAAGCAGAAAACGTGTGCTAAAAGAAAAATAGGCAATTTTTTGTGTGGCAAATAACAACCACATTGTTCTCTCAGCTGTCTGTCTCTTGGCTTCCATGATGAAGATGTGTGTGGCACAGTGAGCCACATAGGCTGCATGGTGCCACTATTTGTTTTCCATTTCTTCAAGCACAGGTGGTCTGGTATTGGAGTTCTTATTTCCAGTTTTATGGATTGTCATCCTTACATACAGTGGTTGATGTTCCTCTGTGGAATCTGTGGATAGGGCACAGAGGAGCACCCCCCATTGCTGCAGCCCAAGTGTCCACACTCTGACCTCCTCTGACCTTACTTAACCTCTACAGAATGCTGTAGTTCAAAACTTCTGAAATTAAATGGTCTGTCCTCTGAGAGGGACAGGAGGGAACACAGTTTGGATGTCTTTTCCTGGATTCTAACCTTTCTCTCCATTGTTTAGGAGCAGACTTGAAAGAACGTGCAAAGATGGATGATGCAGAAGTTGGACTGTTTGTTAGAAGGCTGAGAAATCTCATGGATGAAATAGGTAAAGGATTATTTCAGTTGGAAAAGTTATCCCAGACTACCTGTAGTGAAACATGCTGTAGGAGGGGACAACCAGCAGGTTATCCATGTAGGAGTTGCTTCCCAAATGACTCCATCTTATGCTTGAAACAAAAATCTGGTAAAATACTAACTCTCCTGCTGCCACTCCCAGGACAAGATGCATTTCAGTACTGCCTTACCCACAACAAGAGCAGTGCACACACATGAGTGTAATAAATAAAATACCTGCTATGGCAAAGCATTTATATCCAGTTCTGTGGAATCCTAGGGAGGCAGTACTAGACAACGTGAGCTGTGCTGGTTGTCCCACTTCCAGTACATGCTCTGAAACTCTCATGATATGGCAATGCCCTAACAACATGGATTTGAATCTCTGAATGGATTTGCTAAATGGATTTGTGGAATGTTTGGGTTTGTATCTACAACTCTTCCACTCCCTCTTCTTTTTTTTTTCTTTTTTTCCGAAAGGAATATGGACTCATGCAACTGATTTTCTTCCCCTATTTATGAATTATTCTGCTCTCACTAGAGAGAAAAACCAAAGTGAAAGCTGACTAAAATACCAATCAGAGTTGCAGTAATTAAAAACCCCACAGGAGTAGTCAGGGAGGGGTGGTTACAGCACAGAAGTAGCACATGTCTGAAGTTTGCATCCAGCTCCCAAAATATTTGGAAGGGTATCAAGCAGATAATCTCCAGATACATCACGTTGCTCAACTGTGAGGTAACAACAGTGTTTACCAAGTTCAGGAGCCTTGGCTGACAAAAGCACCAGAAAAACTGATCCTCGTGACAGTGACTTGGGATGGCATCTTTGCTCTGACTGTTGAACTGCACCAGCTGGACATTGATGTGATCAGTTTGCAAGGAGACAGTTCACCCTGTTTTGTGTTGCAGTAGAAAATGAGTTCTTGGGCAATTGTGGACTAAAAAGCTTTAGAGTTTAAGGATTCAAATTCCAGAAGAGAACTTCTGGAACACAAGTGTGTAACCTGTGCTGTGTTCTGCAGCTGCCCTGCCTGTTCCCACGATCGCTGCCATCGATGGCTACGCGCTGGGAGGGGGACTAGAACTGGCCTTGGCCTGTGACCTTCGAGTGGCAGGTTGGTGTTGCTCCATGTAGGAATCGTCCTGCAATCAGTGACTGTATTTTAAAGAGAACTTACATGCTTGAGAATGGACTGTTAATGGAATCCAGAAGCTTGAGAGGAACTTAAAACAGTTCAGGAAATGAGGAAGCATTTGTTCAAAAATTGTGACGTTTAGTTACTATTGGAAAAGCAGTTTCCATGCTTAAAAAGTAAAGCCTATTTTTAGGTAAGATTAGTATTCCTTTAGAAAATTTTATTAGTAGAATTAAACAGTTATTGGAATGTAATTCTGGATCAGCACTCTGGCTAGATCTAACCTTCCCAATTTAAATCAGTTCGGACTGGAAGATTTTCTTTTTCTGTTTCTGTGCTTCCATCCATTACATTTTATCTAGTATGGACACAAGATTCATTGTTCTAGATAAAACTGCTACACTGGGCTAAGCAGCCATACCACACATCCCCCATGGCACTTGAGATGGACATTGGTGAAACACTGTAGTACTCACTTTCTGGCTACTTGGAGAAATGGAGTTCCAGTTCAGTATTGCCAGCTTGTAGTTTTATCAATCAGTTCAGTATGGAAAACTTGTAGTTATACAAATCAAAAAGTAACTAACCCTGCATTTATTTTTTTAATAGCTTCATCAGCTAAAATGGGCCTTATTGAGACCACACGAGGACTTATTCCTGGAGCAGGTGACCTGCACTCAATCTTCAGTCACACCTTCTCAGCTGTACAGTAAATATTTTGCCATTAGAGCACTTTAAGTGTTTTGGATGTAAATTAGAAGTAGCATCTTACAGTGATGCAGATCAATGAATCAAGAGTTCTGTCCCAAACCCCGTCTCAGACTTGATCTGAATTTAGGAAAGTCCCTTTACACCTTTTCTTGTTTATCGAAATACTCAAAAGGGATGCTGAAGCTTTTCAGATGCCTTTAAAAATGTTGACATAATCAGCTAGTGCTTATACAATGCCTTTATTTTTTAAACCTCCTGGTTTTATAAGGAGACAGAATACTAGTGGGGCATTTCTCAGAAATGAGAAAAGGTGTTTTCACTGTTATCCTAAGGTGGAACCCAGCGCCTGCCCAGATGTGTTGGAATAGGTCTTGCAAAGGAACTCATTTTCACTGGCAGACAGATTGATGGACAACAGGCCTTCTCCATGGGCTTGGTAAATCACTCAGTGCCACAGAACAGCGAGGGAGATGCAGCTTACCAGAGAGCACTAGCTTTGGCTAAAGAAATCCTTCCCCAGGTAAGTGTGGTGTTCATGTGGGCAACGTAAAGACAGCAAACAACAACCGAAATTCCTTCCTGTGAAATACTGAAGTCTTGGTTCCTCACGTTTAAGTCTCTTAACTGTCCTTTGTGAATGCAATTTCTGTAGGAACAAGGATTAACATCCAGCTGATTAACCTACAGGACAGTTTTACCCCCAGCTGCAGCCATGCAGCCCTGCAGGACACATTGAAACCTTTCATCATGTACATTATGTGAACTGCAGAAAACACCAATTTTTTAATTTTTTTAAAAATACTTACTAACTTGCTGCAAATTTTTGTAGACTAGAAGGTCATTTGGAGCTAGGACAATGACATAACAATTCCTCTATTATGAATGAATGTGGCTTTAATTATTTTAAATGTTTGTTGTAGTTTGGTTTCTGTTTTTTTTTTAATAAAGGCTCCATTTGCTGTGAAAATGGGAAAACTGGCAATAAACAGAGGAATGGAGGTAATAAATTTTTTTTATAAATATTGAGGTGAATGAAGCATACGAGCAGCTCTTACAAATTACTACAGTAAAAACGTTCAGAACAGATGAGTTATAATCTATGTTTAGACCAGGCATTTAAAGCCATTGCAGAGGTTTTAAAGATTTTCTTTAAAGATAAAATTAATAGGGCAGAATTTCTCTTCTAGTCACTAACACTGCAGTTCTAATACAGGAGTGAAGGTCACTCTGTACTACAAGTGAATGTTTATTGATTTGAGAACTATGAAGAGCTTTGAGGGCTGTACTTCAGACAAATCTCACCCTTCCCTCTCATCCCCAGGTCGACATTGCATCAGGGATGGCTATTGAGGGGATGTGCTATGCCCAGGTAGGTCACCTTCAGAATTCATTCCTGAAAGGAACAACTGTATTTTAATTATAGGATGAGCCTTACAAGTGGTTTTGGTTTCAACAAATTAAAAATGATTCCTCCTGTGAGGAATCTTCTTTGTGCCAAGTTTTGAGAGCACGTACCTGTCTTAGCTAATGGAACAAGACAGTACATTATTTTATTACAATATAATGTGCCTCTCAGTGTATTTTAAGATGGCAAAGCATTAAGTTTAGGGAAAACTGTTTTCCTATATAGTTCTACGGTCTTTGTCTGAGATGCTTTGCTTGTGAGTTACTCTAGAACCCAGTCTCTATTTTCCTAATCGCAAAACGTGGAAGTTGGGACTTAAAGTATTGAAAGAAAAGCAACCTTAGTCTTACACCATTACTGCCAAATTAGCCAGGACTTAAAACCACATCTACTTGTCATTGGAAAACATACCATTTGCTTTGCTTTTCTTTTTAATATAGAATATTCCCACAAGAGACCGTCAGGAAGGGATGGCTGCCTTCAGGGAGAAACGACCACCGCGCTTTATCGGCAAATAACACTTTCTAGCTTCCCCTTGATTTTTAGAAAGTAAAGTAGGACTGAAGAGCACCCACTGATTTCTTGGGGATAATTTTTATGACACCATTCTGTGCACTTAACCCCTTGCCTTGGACTGCATTTCTGAATACTCCACTGGATCATTTTTCTGTACGAATCCTCCAATAAAGATTTAACTTTGTACACCTGATCCTTAAAGCACGTACATCTCGAGCCAGTGTTGCTCTCACACAGATGTCAAGTAAGGAATATGGAGAAGCTTTGGCTCACCATAAAGAAATTAAAAAAAAAAAAAAAGGCAGAAAACATGCTGCACCTAAACACTGTTAGGAAAAACAAACACCGAAGAGAAAGACAACTTAGAAAGTGCTTACTTCCCTAGACAGGAGATTTCAAGCAAAAGTAAATTAGGAAGCAAATGTGGTTTTAGTAAACACTTTACAGGTTATCAAAATATACTTACTAAGTCTGGCTTACCACATTGGAACTGGCTGTCACTTCATGCTATGATTGTCTCAAAGCAAACCACAGTTTCACTTGTGCCAGAAGTTACCCAAACAATTCTGTGGGTGAGGTCACCTTAACAAATTGCACACCTGCAAGTTTTCTATGTAAAGATCTGAAAAGATAAAGCAGTCAGGATCTTCAGCCTTCACAAAAGATGCTAGAGGTGGGATACAAGAGTTTAAAAGTTGCTTCCAGAATTATTGTACCCTGGCAGAAACTCCTGAAGCTGCACAGGAGTGTGAAGAGACCTTTCTGTAAGTGGTACATACAAGTAAATTTAGTGGATTTATACCTTGTAGTAATTTATATTTTTCAGCTTGAAAGAATTCTGCTCACAGTTTGCCTGAAGTCTGTGGGAGCAAAAGAATAAGGGTATGAAAAATCATTCAGAATCTCTCTGCTTGCTGGTTGCAGAACTTCATGAAGTGACACCTCTTCCAGACCTGTGGCCTGATGCCATTATCACCTGCATTTTGTGCTGCAGGGAGTAGTACTTTTTTTTCTGCACAGTTTTAGTTAAGATGCTTTTCAGCAAGTTCTCCTATTATTAGGAAAAAACAGTACTGTAAGGAGAGTTGTCATCTTTATTTTAAAATCTTATAGCAATTGATTTATATTTATTCTATTAACACCAATTTTGACAAGTTTTGTGTTCCACTTCACGTAATGGAAACTCTATACAAGTCCCATAGCAGACATCTCAGAAGGGTGGGGGGTAAAAGCTTGTAGGCTGTTTTTAATTTTTAAACCACCTTCATAATTCAAAGCTACAGCCAGTTGAATTTCTATCTGAATTGAGAAAACTGTACATAGCCAGATACACACATGAAATTATAGCCAAATTATACTTTTGTACAAAAAACAATGAGAAAACACTGATTAAATTACTGGATGAGCACCTTTTGAAGTTGCTGAAATACACAATGTTATTGAAGATTAGAGGTGATATTTTTTATTTGAAGGATGGGAGCTGGGAGAAGGAAGGAGTTAAAAATAGTAAACTATGGTCATCATGAAGGAGCCATCCCTGCTCATGAGCTACCAAACCTAAGTTTTCTTTTTAAACTCAATTCCCAAGTATTTACAGAAGTATCTCTGAATATCAATCAGTGGCCATGGAAATACAGAGACTAAGCAGATAAACAAAAACAATACCTGAAATTAAACTGAATTTGAATGGACATGCAGTTTGCTTCCATCACTTGCATTGTATCAGGCATCTGTATGCTGTGCAATATGTTTCATTGGACACATCATTTGTAACCCATAGGTAACCAAGAAAGGAACAAGTTGTTACAATTAGCATCTTCATGTAAAATTTCACACTCCACAAAACAATGCCATTGACACAGGGTTTACATAGAACACTGGGTGTATTTTACACTCACTGCCATGACTTGGAAATATAATTCACTGCACAATACTGACTGAATATTTACAGAAAACGAGAGCAATCATTAGTCTCTTATAAATAAGGTGACCAAATATCCTGGGCCTCTGATGAGTACATGCAATCCCCTTCATGATGAAGTCAAGTCAGTATTTTGCTCTAATGAGCCTTCTCCTTTCCCTATTCCCAAGTATTCTAAAAACAAAAGGTATCACACACAACTAAAAGTAGTCACACAACAACAAAACTCCCTTCTTGTTATAAAGTTTAAAATCTCAATCTTAGTTCATCCTTTTAGTACTGTTTCACTTTAGTCCTGTTTCTACTGCTTTACTTGAGTGGGTTTCCCCTTTCCCTGAACATGATGCGGTCCCCACCTTGCTAAGAGCAGGGAGGACTCTGGAGAAATGAACTGCAAAAAGGCATTGTTCCAGCAGTAAGGAACACAAAAGAACATGGCTTGCAGGCAAAAGGAAAAGGAAGCTGAAGACCTCATTTGTGTCTAGAAGGGTTATGAGACAATGGACATTTTGGTCGCCTTACTTACAAGTCTCACTGTAACCTGCATGCACGGACTTGTGGTTTAGTCTGTAGGAGTGTTGGATCTCACAACCACACACAGTTCTATTCAAACACCAAACTGGTGAACAGTGTTATGAAGAGCAATCACAGGGATGGAATAACTTTTTCTCCCAGGAGTCACAAAACAGGATATTCCTTCAAGTCTTGTTTTCAGATGTGCATATTGATCTGTACAAGTCCCATCTCCTGGTAGGCAGCACTAACCCCACCTTATGACCAGCTCAAGCCTGACCCTTGACAAGTCACACACGTGGTTGCCATCAAAGCTGACGTTCAGCAAAGGTTTCCACACATGGTTTTGGGTACCACAGTTACTGGCAAATCACTTTAATGGTGACCAATATATTACAAATTACTCCAACTACACACACATCAGAAGGGATTATTACAGAGACAATACTTTACACTCCTCTACCTGCAGCTTTCAGTTGGGTTTGCTCTGTTGCTGTTTCCTACACGGTGGGGGTCTCCCGTGACGCATAATGTGTTTTTCTAAACTGTCCAGGATGGCAATGGCAATCCTTTGGACATGGGGATCAGTCTGGACGTTTTCCTTGATGTTGTACAAATGCTGTAAACCACCTTCTTCAATTAACATGCTGCAGTATCTGGCAGCTGTAACGAGATTATAGAAAGGGAATTAAAAACAGAATTATCTAGGGTAAAGGTAGCAGATACTGTAAACACCGATTCAAATCCATTTTTGTCTCCAGGCAACATTTAGGACACTCCCTAAAGTGTCCACAGAAGTGCACTGGTACTTAAGCAAGTGACAACACAACAAGAGTTACTTGGACAGGACTCAGATTGTAATGAGGTCTGTTACCAAGCCTGTCTCAACTGACTGGAAAGTGCCCTGTAATGTGCACAGGATTCTCTCTTTCCCCCACCTCCTCTGCAGGCATTTTAAGTGCACACATACAAACTATAAGAAATGGGAATAAGAAGTACTGTAGTGTCTATGAGTATTCAGGTAAAAGTAGTACCTTTGCCAAAAACCTCAGTACAGAACAGTTACCAAAAAATGGTCTCAGATATACCACACCATTTGTACAGGCTTGTGGTGAACAGGCTAGTTCCTTCAAATACACTTTGCCAAATACTATTGATGGTGGCCTTTAACTAGCAACAAGTTGCTACAAATGCCTTTCCAGGGTTTCTTCCATTTTCACTGTTGATTTCAGAAAGTTGAAATTGCACCTCCAGCAGCTCTGGTGTCACTGAGAGCAGAGAAGAACTATAAAAAGAGCTGTGTGGTGAATGTAATGTGCAGGCTCCAGGGGTTGTTATGGAAAGGTCAGGATGACTGTAATGCAATCCACAGGCCTCAGCCAGGCCCAACTTCCCCATTCATCTCCATGATGCAACACCAGAGTTAAGTGCTGACGTTCAGCATTTCACTGGGGATCACATTTACTGCAGTGTTACTAATATTTTAGTGAAGTTAGCTCATTGAGGGGAATATGATATAGGGAAACAGCAAAAGGAGAAAAAATAAAGAAGAAAAAATTAAAAAAACCACATTAATTCCAGATTACTTTCCAGCCTCATCTCTAAGAGCGGGTCAAAATAAAATGCATCTCCTCTCCAGGAGAAAAAGCCTCCTTGGAGCCAAGCACCAACAGCTGAAGATTTTCCCCCAAAATAAATCTACATATTTCAGAATTAAACACATTTTCCCTCAGAGTAGGTTATTACATTTGCTACCAAACATTTGGCTTCTCTGCAACTTTGTGCAGAAGCTTGTGGCATCAACTACCATCAGAACTAAACTTCAGGAACTGCCTTGATCTCAAATCAGGAGTATGCCAATACAAACCCCTGTGGCATGCTGAAAGCTCAGAGGTTAGGGCAGCACAAAAGAAACGCTACAAATAAATAGAACAAATAGGACAGTACCAAGTTAACAGGACTAAAGGACAGAGAGAAATGACAGGGTCTTAATCAAAATCTGTTATCCAGAGTCTGACCAGTAAAACAGCTCTGTCAGAACAGTCCTACTTCAACATGAAGAGCCCTCTCAGATTTCTGGGCAGCACCCTGGGAACAGTAGCTCATTATATTTATGAGCTCTATAAAGAGCAGCAAACAGTATTCTGTGTGCAGTTATATATTTTGCCATCTTATTGGTTGGTCCTGAATAGATGCCTTATCACTGCAGAAATAGTGATTTATGTGGCATGGATAAACAAGCCTAGATATGTTGCTGTCAAGAAGATTAAAAACTGGCACAGAAAACACTTTTAATACTTTGGAGGAAAGCTGCTTTATATACACACATTCATGTCAAAAATTTAAATCAAAAAAACAACCAAAAAACCCAACATTAAAAGCCAGGAACATTTGTCCACTCTTACATTTAGATATGGTTGGGAGATTTATTTCCTTTCCCAACACTTTTATCAAATGCTCTCAAATCATTTTACAAACTAGACATTAGTGTTCCCATTTTGTAGATGGGAAAGAAAGATTAAGGAACTGACCTTTCTATCCCAGCAAGTTACTGCAAAAGGTGATTAGGGCAGGATTACCCAGCATTTCTGCTCCCACAGTGAGACACTGACACCTGCTATGGTCATTGTTCTTAACTTAAAAGAAATCTGTTGCCCATTACTAATAGTTACATTTCTGAATAAAAACACCTGTGCAAGCAAAAAATGTAGTTAATCTTAATACATCCACATTTTGGAATTAATATTAGGCACCTAACA